TCATGTCCGACTCTTTACTGCTATGGATTGTAGCCTGCCAGGCTCCTCTGTCCATGGGGTTCCCCAGGCAAGAATACTGGAATGGGTTGCCATTGCCTTCTCCAGGGGATCTTTTCTGACCCAGGGATCAAACCCAGGTCTCCTGCATTGCAGTCACATTCTTTACCATCTGAGCCACCTGGGAAGCCCCTATTAGTTATTCCCAAAAAGTGAAAAGGAGGAAACATTTGCCAACTCATTCCGCATGTTCACCATTACCCTGATACCAAATCCAGACAAAGAAGTCTAAAAAATATGAAAGCTACAGACCAATGTCATTTATAAACATAGGTGTAAAAATCATCAAGAAAATACTAGCAAACCAAATCTACCTATATATAAAAAGGATTAAATATTGACCAGGTAGAAATTATCCTAGGATATTGCTTTAACATCTCAAAATCAGTATAATGTACCATATTAGAATAAAGAGCCAAAGCATATGATCATCTTAATAAACATGGAATAAAACTTTTGACAGAATTCAATATTCTGTTGTAATCAAAATACTAAACACAACAGGAATGGACTGGAACTTCCTCAGTATGATAAAGGATCTGTGAAAAACTCCAAAGCTAATCTAATACTTGATAGTGAAAAGCTTAATGCTGTCTTCCAAAGATCAAAAACAAGACAAGAATATCTGCTCTCACCACTTCTGTTGAACACTGTAGAATAGATTCTAGCCAGGGAAAGAAATACAGGGCATCTATATTGGAAAAGAAGAGATAAAACTCTATTCTCAGATATTAGGATCTAGTATATGCAAAATCCTAAGAAATTAATGAACTATTAGAACTAATAAATGAGCTCAGCCTGGTTGTAGGATAGAAGTTCAAAGTGTTGTATTTCTGTATGCTAGGAATTATAGTACAATGTGAAATTAATAAGCTTCCATTTACAGTAGTATAAAATAATACTTTGATTTAAACCTAACAAAAGAATTGCAGAATTTGTACACTGAGAAATATAAAATATCATTGAAAGAAATTAGAGAAACACCTAAATAAATGGAAAACTGTCTCATGTTTGTGTATAGGAAGATTTAATACAGCAATATTCCCATCATTAATCTTTATTCTCAGTGTGATCTCCACTGAAATTCTGTCTTTATTCCAGAAATTGACAGATAATCATAAAATTTGTGAAAAAACAGAGTCTTAAAAAAGAGCAAAGTAGGAAGATTCACATTTCTTACTTCAAAACTTAGTCCACAATCATAGTTATTAAGACTGTGGTACTGACCTCAGGTTAGATATACACATTAATGGAATACATTGAAAGTCCAAAAATAATCTCTCATATTATGTTAGTAGACTTTAGGCAAGGGTGCTGGGACAATTCATGGAGAAAGAATAGTCTTTTCAACAAATGATGCTGGGACAACTGAATATCCACATGTAGGGTAATAAACTTAGAGCACCAACTCACACCATTGACCAAAAAGTAACTTAAAATGGATCATAGACCTTAATTTAGTGGCTAAAACTATAAAATTCTTAGGAGAAAACATAGGACTGTATCTTTGTGTACTTAAAGTAGGGAGTGATTTCAATATGGCACCAAAAGCCTAAGCAACAACAGCAAAATAGGTTAGTTGGGATTCATCAAAGTATGTTTGTGCATCAAAGGATACTGACATGAATGTGAAAAGACAGCCCACAGAATGGAAGAAAATGTTTGTAAATCATGTATCTGACAGATACCTTATATCTATAGTATATAAAGAACTCTTACAGCTCAATATAATGACAAATAAGCCAGCTAAAATAAATGGGCAAAGTTTTGAATAGCCCTTTCTCTAAAGAAAACATTCAAAGGATTAATAAGCATGTGAAAAGATACTCAACATCATTATTCATTAGAGAAATGTAAATCAGAACCACAATGGGATATCATTTACCCACTAGAATGGAAAGCATTAAAAAGATGGACAGTAATTATCAGTTTTTCAAATTAACTCTTATTAAGTGGGACACAGGGTACCAGATGGTGAGCCACATTTCAACAATAAACTGCAAAAGGAATTGAAGCAGAAAAGTTTATTACTCACTGGTCCTTGAGGACATACCAGCATGCCTTAAGGTGTCACATGGAAAAGTTAAGGCACACTGCAGATAGAGTCAGCCCTGGAGTACATGCCTTTATTACGGTTTGTGGGTGAGTGCTTTGGGGTTCCTGGACTAAGGCTAGACTCATTTCAAAAAACCTGGATTTTGGTAAGCCATATGGGCGTCCACTGAAGAGGCACATAGGGATGGGCATGGAGAGGCAAGGATGACTATGGATCACAAAGGCTGTTGGAGAAATTGTATCAGGAACTTGTAATTGCTTGTGACTCTGCAAATTTCTGTCTGGAGCATGCATTTGTGTGGGGATTAATGTCAGTTTATAAGGTACGTATAGGACTCTTGAGCAAACAAAATGAATGCTAAGTCAGCAGTACCATAGAAAAATTCAGCTTAAACTCTTCCACTCAAGTGTTGGCAAGGATGGACCTATTGGGGCACTCATACATTGTTGTTAGAAGTATAAAATAATCCAGCTGCTTTGAAAGAGAGTTTGGCTACTCCTTAAAAAGATAAACATAAAATTTCATATGATTCAGCGGTGCCACCCAGGTATATATGCAAGAGAAATGAAAATATACATCCTCAGGGAAAAAAGAACTTGTATATGATTATTACTAGCAACATTATTCGCAACAGCAAAAAGGTGGAAACAAACCAAATGTCCATAAAGTGATGAATGGTTCATCAAAATGTGGTACATCCATACAGTGAAAATCTAATTGGGCAATAAAAAGAAATGAAGTACTGACACGTGCTATAAATATGGGTGATCCTTGAAAACATTATGCTAAATGAAAGAAGGTAGAAAAATCCACATTATATGATTCCATTTATATAAAATGTCTGGAATAGATAAATTTATAGAGACAGAATAATGGTAACAGGGCTGGGGAGCAGATAAGGGTGGCTTGGGTGTGACTGTTAGAATGGAATTTCTTTTATGGAAGATAAATATGTTCTAAAGTTAGGTTGTGGTGATATTTGTACAATGCTTTGAGTATACTAAAAACATTGAACTTTTAATGAAGTATGTCTCAATAGAGCTGTGAAAGCAATATAGAGTTTTTTTTGTTTCTTTGAAGGACAAGTTTGTCACCTCTGTTTTTTTTTTAAATTGAAGTATAGTTGATTTACAATGTTGTGCTAGTTTCTGGTGTACAGTAAAGTGATTCAAGTTATACATATTTATGTATATTGTTTTTTATATTCTTTTCCATTATGGCTTATTACAAGATATTGAATACCCCTGTGCTATTTGTTTATCCATTCTATATGTAATAGTTTGTATCTGCTAACTACAAACTCTCAATCCAACCTTCCCCCACTCCCCTACCCCTCTGGCAACCACAAGTCTGTTACCTATGTTTGTGAGTCCATTTCTATTTCATAGATAAGTTCATTTGTGTCATATTTTAGAGTCCACATGTAAGTGATATCATATGGTATTTGTCTTTCTCTTTCTTTATGACTTGGCTTAATAAGATAATCTCCAGGTGCATCCATATAGCTGCCAGTGGTATTATTTCATTCTCATTAATGTAATGTGCATTTCTTAAAAGAAGCAGTTGTTTCCATTGGTATTATTTCATTCTTTTTAATGTAATCTCCATTTTTAAAAAGAAGACACAATTGTTTTCACACCAAATTTAACATTTTCAGATTCTTCTATTGATGTTCCTAGAATTACGTTAAAATTTTTTTGTTAATGTTTTGTTTCTGCATTCCTCTATTTTCTGTTATTGCTTCTATGTTCTGTGCATTGAAGAAGGCAGATTATGAATTTTAAACTTGTGTTTCTTATATTTTCTGCCTATGTTATTACTGTGGTTTTATCTGTATTTCCTTTTATCCTCACTTTGTATTTAACACTTAGTTGTGTTTTCTGCGTATGGGATAATACCTTTTGGTAGACTGGAAATGGTTATATATACACAGTTTATCTATTTTAGAACTGTTTGGAGGCTGACTGAGTATTTTAACTGTCTCGTAGATTTTACTTTCCTTACTGGTATTGTAATGGCAGCAACAGAACCTATCGACATGGAATATCTCGAGGTGCTGAAGCTCCTCTTCTTGATGACTTTGTCATGTCTTACCTTTTTGCTCAGGTATGATTATATTATCTTCATTGCCCATGTGTTAAATTATAAATATCTTGCTGTATAGTATATTTCTTAATCAGGAAATAATCGCATATGGGAAAATTGATGCTGTGTATGCATAACAGGTGCAGAGAGGTAACAGAATTGAGTCTTTTATCACTAATTTTTAATCCCATAGCTTTTGGATGTATGTGCATGTGTGCCCAGTCATATCTGACTCTTTGCCACCCCGTGGACTGTAGCCTGCCAGGCTCCACTGTCAGTGGAGTTTCCTAAGCAGGAATACTGGAGGGGGCTGCCATTTCCTACTCCAGGGGATCTTCCCGGCCCAGGGATTGAACCGGCGTCTCGTGTCCTGCATTGGCAAGCAGATTCTTTACCACTGATGCCACCTAGGAAGCCCATGGCTTATGGATAATAGACTCTAATTTATAAAGATTCCTAGAATTGGCCCTTTTGAATTTTCTTTTTATTTTAGTGCTTTAAATCATTTTAAGAATTTCACAAAGTTTAGACTGAGTTTTACAGCATGGTTCATGTAGACCTAAGTGGCTAGAATATAAGACAGTGAAATTTCTTTAGAGAGGTTTTTAAGAAATTCCTAAACAATTGCAGACTTCTATTAGTGGGTAGCGAAATGTAAAGAAAGTAACTGCATAGAAAGTGAACTATCAGTACAGTCCTATGTGTAGCCCCTCAAAGGAGGGGAGCTGGTTGTTGATATTTAGCCTGGAAACTGTGTTCCAGTTACTTGTTTTTTAATATTGTTTGATTTTTGTGGTATTTTGGAACATTTTAAAATGGCTTCTTGTTTATAACCTTGATTTAAACAGTAATTGAAATGTTTTGTCGTTAAATTACTTTTGAGTCTGTGTGCTACAAGAATGAGGAGTAGTTAGTAAAGAAAGAAATTAGTGCTTTTATGTAAAGATATGCTCTTGATATTCCCTAGGTATACAGTCAAGTTCTAAATCAGATTTGATAATATCATGGGAAGTAATCTCACAAATCCTCATAGCTTACATTTCTAAGATGTGTAGTAGATATAGTTCAGTTTATGAGCAACAGATTAAAGAATATTTCTTTTTTGCTGTATAGAGCAACTGACATTTTTATGTGTGAAGGGATATAATATACTTAATAAAGTTTATTATTTTAACCATTTTTTAGTGATCAAAGCATTGGCATCAATTCAGGGAATTCATATTGTTGTGCAGCCTTTACCACCATCCATCTCCAGGACATTTTTCATCTTCCCAAATTGAAACTTTATACCCATTAAAAAGTAACTCTTCATTTCCCTCTCCTCCTGACCTCTGGCAGCCACCTTTCTACTCTGTCTTTATTCATTTGCTTATTCCAGGATAGCTCAGTTAAGTGGAACTATATAGCATTTAGTTTTTTGAGACAGGCTCATTTCTCTGATCGTAATGTCTTCAAGACTCATCTGTGTTGTGGAATGTGTCAGAATTTTCTTCCTTTTTAAAGTTGAGTGATATTCTGTTGTATATACCACATTTTGTTTACTCATGTCTCTTCTTCGATAGTTGCTTTGCTTCTACCTTTGGTACTTATGAGTAATACTGTAATGAACATGAGCGTACAGATATCTCTGAGACCTTACTTTTAATTCTTTTAGGTATATATCCAGAAGTGAGACTACTAGATCATATGGTAATTCTATTTTTAATGTTTTTAGGAACTACTATACTGTTGTCCATAGCAGCTGCACCATTTTACATTATTGCAGTGGCACACAGTTCCTCACCAACAGTTTTTGATAATGGCCATTCTGGTGGTATCGTGTTGTGATTTTGATTTGCATTTCTTTAATTAATTATTTAGAGCATTTTTTTATAGGCTTATTGGCCTCTTGTATGTTTTCTTTGGGGAAGTTTCTGTTCAAGTCCTTTGCTCATTTCTTTAATTAGATTATTTAGTTTTTTTTTTTTCTTTTGTTGTTGTCTGGTTCTGGCTACTAACCCTTTATCAGATAAATGATTTGCAGTTATTTTCTCCTGTTCCTTGAGGTGACTTTTCACTGTTGATTATGTCCTGTGATGCACAAACATTTTAAATTTTGATGTAGTGCAATTTATCTATTTTTTCCTTCTGTCATCTATACTTTTAGTGTCAAATGCAAGAAATCATTGCCAAATCCATCATTGTGAAGCTTTCCCTCTTTATTTTTTATAAATATTTTATGGTTTTAGCTCTTATATTTAGATCTTTGATCTCTTTTCATTTATTTTTTTTTGATTGAATTATAGTTGATTTACAGTGTTGTGCTAATTTCTGCTATGCAGCAAAGTGATTCATACATCCATATATACGCTCTTCCATAGCTTCCCAGATGGTGCTAGTGATAAAGATCCCACCTGCCTTACCACGTAGGAGACACAGAGATGCAGGTTTGACTCCTGGGTTGGGAAGATCCCCTGGAGGAGGGCACAGCAGCCCACTCCAGTGTTCTTGCCTGGAGAGTCCCATGGATGGGGGAACCTCTGGGCTACCCCATAGGGTCACAAAGAGTCGGACGCGACGGAAGAGACCTGGCACGCACACTTTTTATATTCTTTTCAGTTATAGATTTTCATAGGATATTGAATATAGTTCCCTGTGCTATACAGTCGGACCTTGTTACCTATCCATTCTCTAGTTTACACCTGCTAACCTGAAATTCCCAGTCTGTCCCCCCACCCCTTGGCAATCACACGTCTGTTCTGGATGCCCGTGAGTCTGTTTCTGTTTTTCATAGATAAGTTCATATTTTAGATTCCACATATAAGGGATATCACATGGTATTTGTCTTTCTCTTTCTGAATTACTTCCCTTCTGTGATAATCTCTAGATCTATTCATGTTGCTGCAAATGGCATTGTTTCATTCCTTTTTGTGGCTGAGTAGTATTCCATTGTATATATGTACCATATCTTCTTTATCCATTCATCTGTCAGGGGAGATTTAGGTTGTCTCTATGTCTTGACTCTTGTAAATAGGTTGCTGTGAACGTTGGGGTACATTTATTTTTCTGAATTACAGTTTTTTTCCAGATATATGCCCAGGGGTGAGATTGCTGAGTCATATGGCAACTCTATTTTTAGTTTTTTTGAGGAACCTCCATACTGTTTTCAGTAGTAGCTATACCAACTTACATTCCCTTCAACAGTGTAGGAGGGTTCCCTTTTCTCCATACTCTCTAGCCTTTGTTATTTGTAGCATCTGTTATTACTTTTTAACAATAGCCATTCTCACCAATGTGAAGTGAGATCTCAGTGTATTTTTGTTTTGTGTTGTTCCTCTGTCCATGGAGTTTTCCAGGTGAGAATACTGGAGTGGGTAGCCATTCCCTTCTCCAGGAAGTTTTCCCGACCAAGGGATCAAACCTGAGTCTCTTGCATTGGAGGCGGATTCTTTACCATCTGAGCCACCAGGGAAGCCCAGCAATTAATGATGTGGAGCGTCTTTTCATGTGCCCGTTGCCCATCTGTATGTCTTCTCTGGGAAATGTCTAGCTCTTCTGCCCATATTTCAGCTGGGTTATTTGTTGCTTTGTTACTGAATTGTGTGAGCCATGTATGTATTTCGGAAATTAAGCCTGTTGCATCATTTGCAGGTACTTTCTCCTGTTATATAGGTTTTCTTTTTGTTTTGTTTACAGTTTCCTTTACTATGTAAAAAGCTTGTAAGTTTGATTACGTCCCATTTATTTATTTTTACTTTTTTACTTCTGTTGCCTTGGCAGACTGACCATAGGTAGGATTTATGTCAGAATGTTTTGCTTATGTTTTCTTCTAGGAGTTTTATGGTGTCATGTCTTACATTGAAGTTGTTAAACCATTTTGGGTTTATTTTTGTGTATGGTGTGAGCATGTGTTCTAATATTGGTTTACATGTGGCTATTCAACTTTCCCAATACTACTTGGCTGAGGAGACTTTTTCCCAATGTATGTTGTTGTCTCCTTTGTTGAAGATCAGTTTCCCGTAGGTGTGTAGGTTTATTTCTGGGCTCTCCATTCTGTTCCATTGATTCGTATGTCCGTTTTTGTACCAGTACCATGCCATTTTTATTAGTGTAGCTTTGTAGTAATGTCTGAAGTCTGGGAGGATTATGCCTCTTGCTTTGTTCTTTTTCCTTAGGATCACTTGCTTTGTTCTTTTTCCTTAGGATTACTTTGGTAATTCTGGGTCTTTTATGGTTTCATATAAATTTGAATATTATCTGGGAATTCCTTGGTAGTCCAGTGGTTAGAACTTGGTGCTTTCACTGCCAGGTCCTGGGATTAATCCCCAGTTGGGAAACTTAAGATCCTGAAAGTTGCATGGCACGCCCCAAAGAATTAGGATGATTCCTTTTAGTTTGTGAAAAATGTCATGGGTGATTTGAAAGGATTATGCTAAATAAATCTGTAGATTTCTTTGGGTAGTATGACCATTTTAACAACATTAATTCTTACAATCTAAGTACATAGGATATCTTTCTGTCTTTGAATAATCTTTAATTTTCTTTATTAATGTTTTATAGTTTTCAGCATATAATGCTTTTACCTCCTTGGTCAGATTTATTCCTAAGTATTTTATTTTTTTGAATAAAATAAAATTTTGTTTGAAAAGCAGTTTTGTTTTAACATTCTCTCTGATATATTATTGTTAGTGTAAAAATGCAACCAAATTCTGTATGTTAATCTTGTATCCTACTGCCTTGCTGAATTCTTTTATCAGTTCTAGTAGTTTTTGTGTGGAGTCTTCAGAGTTTTCTATATGTAGTGTCATGTCACCTGCATGTAAGGACAGTCTTATGTTTTGAGGTAATTTTTATATGGTGTAAGGTAAGTGTCCATCTTTATTGTTTTGCATGTGGATATCCAATTTTTTTAGCACCACTTGTTAAAAAGACTATTCTTTTTCTGTTGAATGGTCTTGGCACTCTTGTCAAAACCATTTGACTGTCAATCAATTTACATAGCTCCTTTGTTTCAGTGGTCATTAAGGAAAGAGAGAACAGGTTTCTGAGAATAGGGCACTCTGAAGTTATGACTTTCTGCTGTTTTTATAATCGTATTATTTCATCTGTTGCGCATCCATAGTTTATTTGGTGGCATGCTAGGTGAGTCCCATTGACAGGGCAGGTTTTCCTAAACAATTCACTGAGCTACTTTACCCTGATATTAGTGTTATGACATCTCATACTTTTGATCTAGAAAAATGATGGGTGATTTCCAATTTTACCTTTCTAGAAGGGATTTTCTTATCTAGGATGGCAAGATAATTTCATAATAGAGTCCTAAATTGTGTCTGGACACTACTACATGCAATTTTCTATTACTTAGTGTTTCTACTTCTCTAAATCCATGCCCAGAAAATAAATAAGGTAATAGTTAACTTATTCTTAGATTGTATTGATATCAGGTTAGACTTTATGCATGTTTTAGACTAAATATGGCAAATTTTTTTACTATTAACTGTTTTTCTTCCCCCCCCCCCCGGCTGAATGTAGATAAAACTTACTGGTTCAAATGTCAGCTGCCTAGATGAGAAACTACTTTTCTACAGTTTTAATTAAATGAGTCAATCCAATGAATCAGTTTTTATTGATGGTTAAGAAGGCTAGTTTAAAATTATATGCTTTGACATTTGGGACTCTTTCATTTGTAACTTTTTTCTAATGGTATTTGGTTGATTATGTTGTTAGCACTGCACTAATTTTTTCGTATGTTTATTGCCTTTTGGGCATGATTTCAACAGGATATTCTCATAAACAGAATTTATTATACTCTGGTCCCATATAGTATATGAAATGGAAGCAAGCTATTAAAAATAATCTTCCTAGCCTTTGATTATCTGTGGCTTTTTTTAAATTAAGAATAACTTACTTGCCTATTTTCAGAAGTGGAGTGAAATTAGTATTTGAAATTGAGCAAAAAGAAATATCCTTCTTTGAGTCAGTTTAGCCTTACCAATATTGAGGCCTTTGTTTTGGGCGGGGGGTGTGTGTGTGTGTGCTCACTGGTTGTTTCATGGTTTGTGCCTTTTAAGTCATATATTTCTTTTCTTATACAAAAATATTTTCTAATTTGTTAATAGAAAGTTAGCTAACAAATATACTTTTAAGTGCATATTAATTTTTTAATAAAATTATTTTTTAAATTTATGTAAAACTTATTTCATGAGATGTTATCATATGGAAGAAGGGAGATATGTGTATAAAATATGGATGATCTTTTCTCTTAGTTTAAACCTTGGTTGGTATTTCAGCCATTATTACGGCTTTTACCTTTCTTATAAAGAAAATTGTTATTTTTAGAATATTGGTGCTTTTAACCTTTCTCCCATTACATATTTAGTCTGATTTTATCTGTATCCCTAAATTGTCTAGATAAAAATCTTAGAATTTCTGTTTTTCCATTTTCTTCATTCTTTTACATATAATTATAAAGTTAGTGGGTTTTTTCAGACTCTTTTAGTGTTTTTTCTTTTATACAGCAGAGCCTTACTCTCTCATATTTGAACCATTACTATAGCCTCTTCAAGAGTCTCCTTGAATACACTTCATTTTCTTTTCTTGTATCATTGCTACTTCTACCAGTGAAACAGGCATGATGCTTTAAGAAAAGATACTTTATGAAATGGATACATTTAAGAAAATGGTTCTCTATTGCTTCTGGGATCCACTTGTTGAAGAGTACCTGCAGTTTGAGCCCAACTTGATTTTCCAAGTCTTAATTCACTCTGTTCACTTTACATGAATTATCTGCTCCAACCAAACTACATTGCATCTCTGAACATGCCTTGTGCTTTCTTTTTGTACCATTTCTTCTATTTTTGCATCCTGTTTTGTGTTAATCAAAAATTTCTTCAGGAAATTCTCTAGTGATCCAGTGGTTAAGAGTCCACCTTGTGTGGTACAGGAGACATGGGTTCAACCCCTGGTCAGGAAACTAAGATCCCACATTCTCTGCAGCAGCTGAGCCACAGATCCTGTGTGACACAACAGAGACCCAGTGCAGCCAAATAAATAAATACATAAATAAATATTTTTTAAAAATTTCTTCATATTCAAAGAATATATTAAATTTCAATTTTTCTGTGAAACCTTTCCTAATTACTCCTACTGGATATAATCTCAACTTCTTTTAAGTTCCTAAATCATCTGTTGTGTGGTACTTACTATGCAGTGTCTGGCATTATAATTTTTTTTTTCACTTGTTTCACTTCCTGGCTACATTTTAGTCTCCTTGGAGGCTGAGGCTACATCTTATATTTCTTTGTAGTCAAAACAGTCCTTAGTACAATGCTTTGAGCATATTTGGAACTCAGTACATATTTAATTGATTAATACCTATTTTAATTTAGGTAATTTTGATGTTGAAGATACAGTTTGAAGATAGAATCAGTGAAATAGGCTGATAATTGGGAACCTAATTTAAATCACTTTCCATTTGCAAAAGAACTTATACTAAAACTTTATGGTAGAGTGTTTCAAAATCAAGGGAGGAGTTGACCTTGTTAAATGTATATGTTCTGAAAATTATGTTATAGATCAAAATACAGTAAAATACAATAATAGATTAAAATGTGATAGTGAAACTTCAGAAATATTTTCTTCTATATTTTGTTTTTACTTTAGTGGCGGCATGATTTTTTACATGGATGGATAAAAGTACCTGTGACTCATGAAACACAGGAAGAATGTCTTGGGATGGCAGTGTTAGATATGATGAGAATAGCCAAAGAAAAGAATCAAACCCCACTGGACATCTATAGCTCTATCAGGTAATTTTCTTATGCAAATCCATATATATAAGTATGACTAGTTATAGTTTTTATATAACTTATTTGTTTTTTTCTGGTTTGCCTGTATTTATTTTTTGGTGTTTTTTTAAAATTACATGAGGAAAATTTTAAATTCCATAGTGCTTTAGGATTTTCAAAAGTTTCAAACAAATGATTTTGTATGTTATCATAACAATCCTTTTTCCCTTCTACCTATGTACAATTCCTCCTCCTTTCTCTCACCCCACCAGAAACCACTAGTTCATTCTCTATGTCTGTGAGTCTATTTCTTTTTTGTTATGTTTACTAGTTTGTTATATTTTTTAGATTCCACATATAAGTGATACTGGACACTACTTATCTTTCTCTGTCTGGCATACTTCATTTAACATAATTCACTGCTAGTCCATCCATTTTGCTGCAAATAGCAAAATTTCGTTCTTTTTTATGGCTGAGTTGTATTCCATTGTGTGTGTGTGTGTGTGTGTGTGTGTGTGTGTGTGTGTGTGTGTGTGTGTATACCACATCTTGTTAATCCATTCATTTGTTAATGGACACTTAGGTTGCTTCTGTACCTTGGCAATTGTAAACAGTACTGCTGTGAACATTGAGGTGCTTGTATCTTTTCAAATCAGTATTTTTGTTTCTTTTGCATTTATACCCAAGAGTAGAATTGCTGTGTCATATGTTAGTTTTAATTTTAATTTTTTGAGAAGCCTCCATACTATTTTTCACAATGGTGTACCAGTCTACATTCCTCCCTCACCAACATTTGATATTTGTATGATTTTTTTTTTCTAATAGCCATTCTGGTGGGTGCAAAGTGACATCTCATTGTCGTTTTAATTTGCATTTCCCTGATGATTAGCAATATTGAGCATCTTTTCATGTGCCTGATGGCCATCTGCATTTCCTCTTTGGGAAAATGTCTATTCAGTTCTTATGCCCAGTTCTTAATTGGGTTGTTTGGTTTTTTGATGTTGAGTTATATGAGTTGAGAACTGACTCATTGGAAAAGACCCTAATGCTGGGAAAGATTGAAGGCAAGAGGAGAAGGGGACAACAGAGAATGAAATGGTTGGATGGCATCACCCAACTCGATGGACATGAGCTTAAGCAAGCTCCAGGGGTTGGTGATGGACAAGGAAGCCTGGCGTGCTGCAGTCCATGGGGTTGCAAAGAGTCAGACATGACTGAGTGAACTGAACTGAATCCTTATCGTTCATTTCATTTGCAAATATTTTATCCCATTCAGTAGGTTGTCTTTTCATTTTGTTGATGGTTTCCTTTGCTATGCAAAAGCTTTTAAGTTTAATTAGATCCTGTTTATTTATTTTTCTTTTATTTTCTTCACTTTAAGAGATGAATTCCCCCCAAAATATACTGTTATGATTTGTGTCAGGGTGTGTTCTGCCCATGTTTTCCTTGAGGAATTTTATAGTATCCAGTCTTACATTTAGACTTTTAAATTCAAAATCCATTTTGAGTTTATTTTTGTACACTTAACATAAAATTATAAGATATTTAAAGTGTACATCTACCTATATATTGTAAAACAGTTCATATCTATCACCTCACATAAGTATTTATTGTGAGAACATACATTCTACTCCTTTAACAAGTTTCTGTTATATAATACCATGTTATCAGTTATAATCAGATCTTTAGGCCTTATTTGTCTTATAACACATCCAGCAGATTCTTATACATGTGATCCACAGACTCCAAATTATTCTTCTGCATCTTGAATTCTGACAGTCATTTTGAAATGCTACTCCTATAGCCAGCTTTAATGGCAGTAAAACTTCTACTCCTTTTGAAGCTATATATGACTACTGTAAGGATACTTTTTTTTTTGAAGTTTGAAGACTAAACATTTGTTTTACATATTATATATAACTACCAGATTATAAGTTTGAGGATGTCATGAATCTGGTTAAAATTCTCTTTATTCCTAGAAGTCAGTAACTGGCTTTTGTCCCTCTTTTTCTGACTGCCCTCATGTTAAATACCCAGTTTGCAGGCTATCAGTTTCTATGTTTCCCTCTTTGGTTTTAGGTATTCTTGTTTTTTTTTTCCAAATGTCTATTAGTCCTTAACCTAAGGGTGTAGACCATTCAGAATGATTTCAGGAACTCACTGAGGTATGGTATCTTAAAGATTCCAACATCTGAAGAAAAAATAAAAATGTTTCTATTTTCCAGTAAGGCCTTCATCTTTATTAAAATCCAGACAAACACCTCTTAGTGTAATAACTTACTCATTCATTTGTTTGTTCACTCATTCGTTTAACAACTGTTTGTTGAATACCTGCTGTAGCAAGACCATAGTAGAACACGGTGAGTGTCTTAGATGTTGTCAGTAGAAACTGAAGGAATTGAAAGGGACATAGTTGAAAAACAGAGAAGCTTTGAGCCATTGAAAATGAATTTTTAAATATGAAGCCAACTCTTAACCAGGCTTAAGCTCTGGTGGAACACTTCTGCTATGGAGACATGATATTGTCCAAAGTCTTGGCACAGTATAGATTGTGGTTTCTTTGAGGTCAGGAATCATATCATCCATTTATTCTTTTTCCTGCCTATTTAATCTAGTGTCCTAAAAAAAGTGAATGTGTAGTAATTATATTTCTTTATCTTTACCAGAATATAAATGCATCTGCAAAATTCTGCTTCATTTTTCATTTACTTTTAAAATTGTGTAGATACTAAACATTCATTAAAAGATTCCATGATATTTTAAAATAGCTTTATTGAGATATAATTCACATAACATAAAGTTTACTTGTTTTAATTGTACAATTCAGTATTAATTATTGAGTTATAAAGGTTCTTTATATATCATGAATACAAGTCTCCTGATGTAGGTTCTCATATATATGATTTGCAAATATTTTTTTTATTCTGTGGATTTTTTTCACTTTCTTGAAAGCATTATTTGCAGCACAAGAATTTAAATTTTGAAGTAACCTAATTTATCTATTTTTTCATTTGTCTTTGGTACCATGACCTTTTAATATTAGGTAAATAATTATCACTGTTTAGCCTTCTTAATGTAATTTAATTCACTTATGTTTTCCAAATTTTCACTTATTGCTTATTTCTGAAAAATAATCAAGGAACTCTACTTTTTGTTAAAGTTTTCGGGATTGATGGAAGAACAGGTGAATAATTTGTTTTTTACCGAATGAAATAAGCTGCTTTGTTCCTAGAAATATCCAGTAGAGAATGCTTCTCTGCCTAGTATAATACATAAAATAATACATATTCTTTCCTAGACTTAAAAAATACATGTAAAATACATCTCTGTGTGTCTATACCTGTGTATTAGGTGCATCTGTGTCTGTGAGAACAAGCCTTTGTGTCTACATGTGTACCCATATCTATGTGTTTGTGCATCTCCTTGTGCATGTGTATGTATTAGATACTTAGCCTTTGTTATGTCAGATCCTAATTGGGCATTGTGGTTTTGGTGTTGGAATACAGAAAGTAAAGGAAATGGATAAGATTTTTCTGTTTCATTCTTCATCTGCTCCTTGAAATCCTAGGTCTGCAAAAGGAAGAGACCTAGAGAAAGGAAAGTGTTTCAAGGAGACCGTGCTGAATTTGCGAACACTAGCCCAGGGCCAAGGCCACTTACATAGCAACAGAGGTATAATACCTCATATCACTAGACTCCTACACAGCTAAGCAGATACTAGAGTTTACAGTGGTCTGTTCCAGTTGTAATAATAAGATGAAGATTTCATGTTATGGTGCAAAAATAGTATGTAAGACAAAACTTAACTTCAAAAGCTTTTAGAGCCTGAATTTTAGGCTACCTTAAAGGTTTAGGGCTTCTCTGGTGACTGAGATGGTGAAGAGTATGTCTGTAGTGCAGGAGACCCGGGCTCAGTCCAGGTCATGAGGAAGATCCCCTGGACAAGGGGATGGCTTCCCACTCCAATATTCCTGCCTGGAGAATTCCATGGACAGAGGAGCCTCGTGGGCTACAGTCCACAGGGTCGCAAAGAGTTGGACGTGACTGAGCGACTAACACTTAAAGTTTCAGTATAACGAAAGCGTCAAGAAGAATGTTTTCATGCTTCAGGAGTTAATAACTTTGTGACTTTTGAAACATTTTTAGAGTTTCTAACAAAATCTAGCTAGTTCCCATCGCAGATGACACCAAAGTAGATTCATCATATTAAGAAACCATACATTCTTGTAGTATAGCAAAGAATTACGTCTGTCCTTTATTCCAGGAATCAAAGTGGAAAAACTTTCTGAATTTTGTTATCTTAAACTCCTCTTTTGATTTCCAGATAAGCTTTCAAAGCCTTTTAAAATCAAGTAGCACTGGTGTCTATGTAAATTATAATCCAGGTTTAGTAGGGCTCTTGGTTTAGCTAAAGTTTTTGACAAAAGAAGGTAAAGTAGGAAGTATTTGTATTCTGATTGTATTTTTAAACCTTTCAGGTTTTTTCTAAACTTACTGAGGCTCTCCTATATTCTATCCAGACTTTTATTAAATTTTATATATTTTGCTCAGTTGCTCAGTCATGTCCAACTCTTTGCGACCCCATGAACTGCAGCATGTCAGTCTTCCCTGTCCTTCACCATCTCCTAGAGCTTGCTCAAATTCATGTTCACTGAATCAGTGACTCCATCCAACCTTCTCATCCTCTGTTGCCCCCTTCTCCTCCTGCCTTCAATCTTCCCCAGCATCAGGGTCTTTCTAGTGAGTCGGCTCTTCACATCAGGTGGTCAGAGTATTGGAGCTCCAGCCTCAGCGTCAGTCCCTCCAGTAAATGTCCAGTACTGATTTCCTTTAAGACTGACTGGTTTGATCTCCTTGCAGTCCAGGGGATTCCCAGGAGTCCTTTCCAACACCATAATTCAAAAGCACCGGCTGTTCAGCACTCAGCCTTCCTTACGGTCCAGCTCTCAGTCCATGCATGACTATGAGAAAAACTGACTATACGGACCTTTGTCAGCCAAGTAATGTCTCTGCTTTTTAACACACTATATAGGTTTGTCATAGCTTTTTTTTCAAGGAGCAGGCATCTTTTAATTTCATGGCTGCAGTCACCATCTGCAGTGATTTTGGAGCCCAAGAAAATAAAGTCTGTCAGTGTTTTCCATTGATTTCACATATATTTGCCATGAAGTGATGGGACCGGATGCCATGATCTTAGTTTTTTGAATGTTGAGTTTTCAGCCAGCTTTTTCACTCTCCTCTTTCGCTTTCATCAAGAGTCTTTTACAAATATATAATTGCCCTGAAAAGGAAAGGAATGTGACTTTTGAGGTCTGAAAAATGAGTATAATTTAATGGGTGGAGAGAGGTAAGTGATGGAGAGTAGAGGCTCATGGAAGAGGCTTTGCAGCAGAAAGAAACATGGGAAGAATGAAGAGTCAGTATTATTAGAGCTGAAAGAGTTAGTAGGTAATGAGGCAGGGGCTGGACCATATAGAACCTAGAGGCATGTTGATAAGGTTAAGAACGCTAGGAAACTATGTAAGAGTATTGCGTTTGTGCTCATTTGCTAAGTTGTGTCCAACTCTTTGCAAATTTGTGGATTGCAACCCACCAGGCTCCAAGAATATTGGAGTGGGTTGCCCTTTCCTTCTCCAGGTTATCTCGCCAACCCAGGGTTCAAACCCATATCTCCTACATTGGCAGCTGGATTCTTTACCACTGAGCCACCAGCGAAGCCCTGTGTAAGGGTATTAAAGCACGGGTAAAAAGATTTGTGTGTTTAGAAGATTCCTATGACAACAGTGTAGAAAACTAGAGGGCTGAAAGAGAAAATGGAAGTGTGGGTCCCCTAGAGAGTAAGATCATTGCAGTAGTTCCTTTAGGAATTGCAGTTGAATGAGTTAATAATAAGAAAAATGGGCAAATTAGAGAAATATTTAGAAGGGAAAATCAAGGGAAGATGGTGACAGATTGAATAATGAAGGTTGGTGGGGAAGTTGTGTAAAGAATGATTCATGAGTTTCTGGGGCTTGTGGGAATAGAGGATCTTTGGTGCAGTGTACTCAGATAGGGAATGCTTTAGGAGAATCTTTTAGGGGAGGACCTTATGGGGACTTATGAATTTGGTTTGCTACATTGTTTGAGGCACTTTTGAGACAGCCACATTATATGGGTAAATTGACTTGACTATGGAGGATAATGTCTCAAGCTTAGAGGTCTGGGCTAAAGATGGAGATATCAGAGTCGTTTGTATATAGACTATCTAGAGTAAAAGAAAGTATAGATGATAAAAGAAGAGGGCCCGTAGTTAAGTCTTGAAGAATTCTAACAATTATCACCAGCTAAAGGGGATTGAGGAGAAGGAAATGGCAACCCACTCCAGTATTCTTGCCTAGAGAATCCTGTGGACAGAGGAGCCTGGTGGGCTGCTGTCTGTAGGATCACACAGAGTCAGACAGGACTGAAGTGACTTAGCCCGGCAAAGGGGATTGAGCCTGTAGAGAAGACTGGCAAAGTAGCCAAAGGAATGGGATGGAAAATCAAGAAAGCTAAGGGAAGAAAGTATCAAGGAGAGAGTGGTTAACACTGTTGGATGCTTCTGGAAAATGACAAGTAAAATGAACAAGGAATTTGGTTTTAGCTACATTCCTTGATCTTAGCAGGAGTGGTTTCTAGAGAATGATGGAACAGAAGCCAAATTGGAGTGAGTTAAGGAGTAAATGGAAGGTGAGGAAATGAAATTGGCTATATGAACTCTTTAAAAAGAAGCCAGATAGTCTGTGGCTGGAGAGAGATGAGGGATAAGGAGATTTTATATTTAAGATGGGAAGAACATTAATGTTTTAAAACTTGTGGATAGAAGATAAGTAATAAATAGGGTAAAATTCCCCAGAGGGTAGAGGTAAGTACACATCAAAGAAATAACTTTAACAGATTTATACCTTATTTATTGTAATAGGTGGGAAGGAAGAAAGAATGAGTGCACATGTATAAGGTTTACTAGCAAGATACTGATGGAGAAGGAAATGGGAACCCACTCCAGTGTTCTTGCCTGGAGAATCCCAGGGACGGTGGAGCCTGGTGGGCTGCCGTCTATGGGGTCGCACAGAGTCGGACACGACTGAAGCGACTTAGCAGCAGCAGCAGCAGCAAGATATTGAGGGAATTCTGCTTAGAGAAGCTTTTTTTCCCCTGAGAAAAAGATGAAGTCATTTTTGATAATAGAGAGAAATGTAGCTGAGGTGTAAGAAGAAAAGTAGGAACTTTAAGAATATAGGAGTTTTGACATAGTTGTGGGACTTGGGGAAATTAGTTGAACAGAGAAATGTCATAAAAGTGATAGTAGTGATAAAAGCCTATTTGAAATTTGTGATTATGAATTTATAATTCAACCTGTCTACCTTGTCAAATGACTTTTCCCAGCAGCTTTGGCTACTTGAAGACAAGACTGATAGCTCCATAAGGGGATTAGGGTAGAGCAGGGAAGGAAGGAAAGCAGTGGTGTGCTGGTAAATGTTTAACAACAGTTCTTAAACAGAAAAAAAAATATCTGATTTGTTTGTAACTTTTACTGATATGCATGGTTTAAATACCAAGTATCTGTGGCCAATTTCAAAGTAGCAATCTGAGATCACCCAATGCAGAGTTGAAAAGAGATGAGTAGCAAACCCTTTCCATCACTGAGATATAACCTCAAAAGTACATATAGTAGTAAAAAACATAAAAATAAATAAATAAATAATGTAAAATAATTAGGAAGTGATGCCTTTTGAGTATTCATTCTCTATGTTTAAATATAATTTATTTGTAATTTTATTTAATTTAAATTTTAATGATGGCTCTATAACAGTACAAAATAATCATTAAACTATAATAATCTCTCAGCATTAGGCAGTTCCAGCATTCAGGTACGTGTAGTACAACGTGATAAGTGATTAATTATGGAGCAGTATACAGAATGCTGTCAGACAAAGGGAATAGCATCTAACATGGTTATAGAGATCCAGTTGTACCTTCAGAAATAAAATAGTCTTCTTTTTTCAGACACTTGAGCAGAAGGGAAATAAGTTATCTACCTTCCTTAGGATATTTTACATAGAGATGGAAGTACAAAAGATTCAGAACATTTCCAACTAGAATTGTTTTTATTACAAAGGAGTTATTGAAGCTGACCTGAGAATAATGCACACAAAAAAAGTATGTTTGCCTAGTGAATATCAGTAATATCTAACAAAATATAACAATTTCCAGAATTCAGATAAATTTTAGAGTATTAGCATTATAGGAAAGATATGCCAAAATGGCGTATATAAGAAAAATTTTTAGAGATTCCAATATTAACTAGACTACGTCTTCATTTCTTTAGGGGGGAAATTAACTTCTCCTTCTCTAAGATTTTATGACAGTTCAGAATTTGTAAAGGCATTCACATCACCAAATAAAACCTTAAGGTTTTATACTATATGGATGGTGACTGTGTTTCCTTTTTCACTTGACTATTGTGCTATTTACTTATTATGGAGAAGAGTGGTATCTTCTAATTTTATTTTGTTCCAACTTGTTTTGCTCTTGTGTGTACTCTTTATTATCTCTAGCTACAAGACATTTTTGCCAAAATGTGTTCGAGCAAAGATCCAAGAGTATCATATTTTGACAAGGAAGAGAATAAGGTACAGATTTCGCAGATTTATTGAGCAATTCAGCCATTGCAAAGCCACTGCCAGAAACTTGAAACTTAAGTATCTTATAAATCTGGAAACTCTTCAGTCTGCCTTCTACACAGAGCAGTTTGAAGTAAAAGAACCTGGAAGAGGTCCTTCAGGTGAGGAGATTTTTGCAACCATTATAATAACTGGAAACGGTGGAATTCAGTGGTCAAGAGGGAAACATAAAGAAAGTGAGACACTGACAGAACAGGTAATCCTCAATGATATGTTCTTGTTCTTTGTTAATTTAAGTAGAATGGTAATAGAAACAAAGTACTTTTAGTCATTTGGAACATGGTCTTGCAGTACTCTCCTTCCATTGATATAAATGGAAGTTTTTAATAATGTGACACAAGCAAGATCATAGCTATGGTTCTTTTCTCATTGTTCTTAAATGGCGTTTTGTTTGTTTTTTATGTATGACAAAATAATTAGTAATGGTGTTCTTTTTTAATTTTTGTTTTTTAAAATTATGAAAGTATGATAACACATTTACAGGAGATTTGGAAAATACAGATGGTGTTCTTATAGGTTCAAAAGAGGCTTAAATTCTAAAAGTGATTTTTAAGGTTGTTTTGCTTCTTTGTTTTTTCTTTTACTGTTACTGATAACTGGAAGCACAATTATGAAATTCAGTTAGAAAAAGATTAGTTTTTATTGATTTTATGATGTTGCATATCAAGTTGCATCAAACTTGTTCTTTAAGTTTGCATTACAAGTTTTAAATTTGTTCATATCTATATTGTTCTTAGGATGTTATCAGATATTTATTTTTTTATTTTCATTATTTGGTAAACTGAATTTTCTGGTAATAGTTTCTATTAATGTTGATTGGGTTGAAGGGTACTATAGCACACTTTAGATTCCTGGCACCCTTTAATCCTCTCATTTTTAAGTGGAAGCCAAGATACAGTGTAGTCTTAGGGTTACATTACTAGGAGAGAGAATCTCATTTAATGCTTATCTATTGCTATCAATGCTTTTAAAAAGAATTTGGAATGAAATCTCCTTTATAAGTCTTGTTTTAAAATGGCTCCATAAATTCAACCTATTTTTAATATCAACTGCTCTTAATTACAGGATTTACAGTTGTATTGTGATTTTCCTGATATTATTGATATCAGTATTAAACAAGCAAATCAAGAAGGCTCAAATGAAAGCAGAATTGTAACTATTCATAAGCAAGATGGTAAAAGTCTAGTAAGTTTGTTTTTCATTATATAATGCTTATGCTTTATGGTTGTCAGAAATAAGTGTTTCAGAATCTTAATACCTAAGATGTTCTCTCGTAGGGATTTTGATTATAGTTTTAAATAGAGCTGTAACATCAATTTAACAAGCTTTTTGATTACATATAGTGTTTTGTATCACTACCAACATCATCTCCCCAAAGAATGTCTTGTACATTAATGTATTTTTCAGTCATTTTCATAATTAGCAAAGCACCAGTTACTTCCTGCTCTCTCTTCTCCCACCCCCAGTTTTGCTTGTTCCCTGTTGTTATGCTCGTTCCTGTCTATACAGTCTACCCTCTGTATCTGTGAGTTCCATATTCACAGATTCAACTAGCTGCAGATTGAAAATATTCAGAGAAAAAATTCCAGAAAGTTCTAAAAAGCAAACTTGAATTTACCATGTGCGGGCAACTCTTTGCATAGCATTTATATTGTATTTATAACTATTTGCATCTCATTTACATTATATTAGGTATTATAAGTAATCTAGAGATGATTTAAAGGATATGGGAGGATATACATACTTTAAATGCAGATACTGCATCATTTAATATAAGGGACTTGTGGATTCATGGATTTTGGTGTCTGTGGAGGGGAGACAGATCCTTGAGCCAATACCATACAGATACAGAGGAATGGAGAGACAACTGTATAATCTTTTTTACCAGTAGAGGTGTGTGTAATTCTATCATATTGCCTATTTATATAACAGAATGTGAACCAATCCCAAGTAATCCCTATCTGAACTGTGAGGCATGTTTTATTATGAAAGATTAACCTTTTTCTGTTTTAAAATAGCTTCAAAAAATAAAAAATAAAAAAAAAATAAAATAGCTTCAGAGGGAGTTCCCTGGTTGTCCAAAGGATTGGACGGTGTGCTTCCACTACAGGGCCATGGGTTTGATCTCTGGCCTGGAACTAAGAGGCCACATGCTGCCCAGCGTGGGCAAATAATAATAATAATAATAATAAGATAAAACAGCTTCAGACATCCTACTTATTTTAATTAAAATCAAGAAATGAATTCCTTTGTACTGTGCTCTTAAACTGCTTATTTTTCTGGCTTTGTTTTCTTTTTAACTCAGGTATTTCTTGTACTTTTGGCTTAAATGTCATATTTTGTAATTTAAATATCTCTCTGTCTTACCTTTCTGGCCATTTCAGGGTTATATGACCAAAATTATAAAACTTGTAACTCACTTTGATCAGCATGTTTTACTGTTCTTAGGTATTAATCCTTTGTTGCACAGGTTTGCAGTTCTTCATGTCTTTTAAGATTGTTTATGGTATCTTTTATAGAAATAGTTTTTATAAACTGTGTTAACTAAATATTTTTTATAGTTCAAATACCTCACACAGTTCTCTCCTTATAATTTTTGGTATAAGTACATATTCTGTGTTCTCATTGTGACTAATATTGTTCTTTGCTGAGCCAGGCAATATACCATGATCACATATTCATTCTTGTGTGGACAACTTTTTGATTTTCTGCAAGTTGATTGTTCCTTCAATTTCTTTTAGTATTTCTAATTCATACCAACTTTTGTATCAGACTAGATATAGATAGGTTTCTAACAGAGATGACTGGAATATTTGTCTAATGGGTGTATTGGAAAATACAGTATAGTTATGGGTATAGAGTGGACTGTAACTGGAAAAGCATGGTAAACCCATATTTGAGAGGGTCTCAGATATCAGACACAAGAATTTTTAATTCAAAGTGTATAGCCTGCAAAAATAAACTCAAAATGGATTAAAGATCTAAATGTAAGACCAGAAACTATAAAACTCCTAGAGAAGAACATAGGCAAAACACTCTCCGACATGAATCACAGCAGGATCCTCTATGACCCACCTCCCAGAATATTGGAAATAAAAGCAAAAATAAACAAATGGGACCTAATGAAACTTAAAAGCTTTTGCACAACAAAGGAAACTATAAG